TCACAAAAGCTCACATTTGAGCACAAAGTGCTCTTGTCAACAAATGAAAACCAAGCACAGTAGTCATTATGATTAAAAAATACTGGTTAGTGCCGGAAGCTAAATATCCACAGTGTAAACTGTTAATTTTTTTTTTTATATTATTGTCCATATAGTTTACGCCAAACTGTATGCCCTTTTGGCCGTTTCAGTGGCCTTAAATTGACATCAGGCCGTTTTTGATACAATAGGTTTGGTTCAAATAAAGTAAAATCAGCTTTATGAATGCCGGAGAAAGTGCGTTGGTTGCTGTACCTTCATTGACCAAAATGTAGGTCATGACTAAAATAGCCAATTTAAAATATACTTCTGATCGTAAGTTCTAAGCAGTATTGTTCAACTTAATTTAAACTCAGGGTGCTATCACACGGACATCAAATTATAGACACACTACACATCACGAACACACAAAAGCCTCTAATTGAAGACAAAAAAATGAGTGTTTATTTTCAAAAAAATATTTGAAATTTTGTTCGAGAGATCGGTAGTTCGAGCCAACCCAGGTTGAAAAATAAGATCGTACATAGAGGCATATACCTGATTGAATGTTACCTTTGTTTTTATCCATCTATATTGTTGTTACATTGTAACAATGATCGATGAATTCAATAAAAATTATACAGTCTTCTTTATCTTATTTGTTATACACAATATAATACAGAGTTTACATTTATCGTGAATCACAATCTAAAAATAGCACAGGCAAGTATCAATCTATTAATAGAGCAAGATTTTATAGCACATGTCAATACACAATTATCGGGAAAAGTCATTTAAAAGTTCTTAATATTTCACAAGCTTTCATATCTTCCCCAGTTCATCATCTTCTTCCGTTTCTGTTGGATTACTTTCGGTTGAGTTCCGTGCCGAAACTAAGTCCTCAATAATGTCTCTATCACATGTTTCACCACATCTCACTCATTTCTTTTAATATCATTAATTACCATTAATATGCGTTTTGTTTGCATCTTAAATAAAAACGGTCGGTAAACAAAACAAACAAATCGATGAGCGAATATCACCTGTCTTTTTGTATAATTCAACCTTAATTGCCTTTATCACAAGGTGTTAAAAACACGAGACGCCGACTGTCACTAATTAGCGGATCGTTCACAGCTTTGAAATTTTTTTGTGTTCGACCGAAAACGTGTGATTTTCACTATATTTCTATTGGAGGGACCGAACAACCTGTTCGAGAGTTCGAGCGATCAGTGTTCGAGCGATCCGAGGTAGAACAATATATGTTATATAGGGAATTCGCCGGGACCGGACGATGAGTTCGAGCGAAGGGAGATGTTCGAGCGATCCGAGTTCGAGCGAACGAAGTTTAACTGTAATACATTATCCAGTATTGTTCTTTATCTCGGCTTTCTGTAACTTATTGGGCGTGTATTTTCTCTTCGGTTTTTCATTCTGCAAATAAACATTATGTATATGTTTCATTTAACAAATTTCTTACAGTCAGTACTATGTCAATTAGTCAATTCTAAAATGGTCTTTCCCTGGAGATAAGTGTTTTGAGCAGGTAAGTGTTGGAAGATTGGATACCCCTTTAACAGATGCTAGTGAGTGTGAGAGATGTTGCATTTTTACATAACTTTTCATGAAGAGAACAATTAAACCAGGTCTGTATATGTGGGTATAAGAGTCTGTAATTTGCATATGTGGATATAAGTGTCTGTAATTTGCATATGTGGGTATAATGTCATTGTTAGAGTTTTTCATGATCGTTTTCCGAGATCAAATAAAGAAATTGTTAATTAACCTTTAACCTGCTGAAGGCGAAAGTGATAAGCCTTTGCCACCAGTATAGAGCCAAGCCAGTATGCACATCCGTTCAGTCTGACCAGGCTCTATACCGTTGGCTGGCCAACTTCAAATTCTTACCTTGATCTACCTTAAATTGATAATGGACTGTTCCAAAATTGAAATTGGAAAAGTCCATTTAGGAAATTCAGCAGGTTTAGGGTTAGCTGATACTGCAGGTACATAAGGCCTGGAATTTGGTATCTACTAGTATTTTGCCGAAAAATGAAGAAAGTACCAATGATTTTATGCACAAGCAGGCACCTCAGTAGATAAACAACCTTTCAGTTACTTACATTATCATGTATATCATTATTAATTATCCTAAAGATATAATAAACATAATTATATTCCTGTACATATGACTGTTTGAGCCTTTAACAACATTCATCTGTCTTAAAGATTAAAGTAATTAATAACATATTGATTTTCAATTAAAAATTGAATTTTTTTGTTTACCTATGCATCCATGCCACATTATTACTTAAATTAGTATTTGTTAAAAAAAACCTTATAAATATTTAAATGCCCATAATGCCTCAGAAATTGTCTCTTTTTAGTTTTTCTTACTGACTAAAGTTACTTACTGACTTATGTTGCTCTGGCATTTAGTGCAGTTATAGTGATGTAGTATTTTTTTATTTTGTATTAAAGTTAAAACATTACTTCATTTAAATAATTACACATTCAGTGCTTTCTTTAGGTCACGTGCATCTAACATGTTTGAAAAAAATATTTAAATGTTATATAAAAAATATATTATAGGCACAAGAAACAAAAACCTTTATAGTATCACTAAACTGTTGTAATGTTTCTTCATATTTCGGTAGTAATGGTTTAACATCTTCTTATGAAATTAGCTTCTCTTACCATATTCTTAAAGTGGAAAAACTGAAAATCGAACAAAATGAAAGTCTTATGAAGTGTATACTATATTGCTTAGTCCTTTTTAGGAATTTGAAAATTGCAGTTTAAGCATTTGTGAAATATAATTATAAATGACTTTTAAAAACTAGAAGTTTGCAAACATTTTAGAGCAACAGATTATATAGCAGCATATTAAATTAGTGTATTACTCCGCTAAAAACGACAACAACACCACCAGCCACAACAACAACAAACAATATTACTATACTGTGTTCAGGCGCGGTGTCATAAATGTTGCCTTAATACACTTCAAGCTCATTTTTCACATAGGTACATATACATAATATTACCAAAACAACTGTACGATTTCTAAATAGTGTTATATGTTCTTGCCGAGGGCCGAGGGAAGTGGGCACCTAGTAGATCTTAGTCTGTACGTGTTAGAGGACAAAACTTTCCATAATTTCTGTGTACTTACTGGCCCTTGAAAGTAAAGTGAACATCATGAAATTATGGAACCAGCCTATATTTTCTTTACAGAACATTGCTTTTTGAAAAGTCGTTTTCGAAAAATTTCATATGAACATATAGGCAAAATTAAAACTGTTCAATAAAATTTCTTAAAATATGATGAACAAGATCAACAAGGAAAGGCGGCATGTTGTAAGAACCTGCCTTAAAACTTGGCATTTTGTTATAATATGATAATAGAAACATTTTAAGCGAAACAAAATAAGGGTTCTCGTCATTGAGTGTTCTGCCTATGAATTTAAGCTTTTTGCGTCATTCAAGGGAAGATAATTCACAATAAAGGTAAACAATATCTTTGTTTTTACTTATTTTCATGTTGTTCACTCCAGAGTAAATGTGCAAAATTTCAAGAACGATAAAAGAGCGGATTGGATTCCTTCCTCTCAAAACCTTTGGCCCTTTTCCATTAAACATGACCTATTTGTATAGAATTCAGACATTCTCAATCCTGAGATCATGGGTTGGAGCGTAACTGGGGTCTCGCTTATATATTTCGTGATATGGTACAGGTAGAACATAGTTCCAGGAAATCGCCTTGAGAGTGGTATAAATAAACTTCAAGTTGTTTTAATAAATGTGTTTCAACTAAGTCAGCTTTCTTCATAAGAAAGCGATACATTTGTATATGTTTATTTCGGAGTAAATATTACACCAGTTTTAGAGAAGGTGGAGACGTATTATGGGAATTAACTCAGATATTGTTGTAATTTATGGATGGGGAGCGTGTGCTATATTCGTTGTTGACTACCCTAAACGGTTAATACATTTTAAAAAATTTCAAAGAGTATTGTATATATAAAATTCAAAAAGAGTATGCATATGAAAACTTTACGGATCATTTGAATAGTGAATACCATTGAATAAGATGACAGAAATAAAATATGTCAGGTGTAAAATGAGGTCACATTCGTCATTTCTATGTTGTTATATTTTCTTGTTCTTCGGAATCATTGATTCTGACACTGCACAAATAGACATGCTATTTAACCTATAACCTACCTAAGCCAAAAGTGATCCCCCTTTGCCATCAGTATAGAGCCAGCCCCGGTTGCTGAAACCGAAAGTAATCAGCCTTTGCCACCAGTTTAGAACCAGGCCAGTTTGCTTAAACTGAAAGTAATCAGCCCTTGCCAAGAACATAGAGCAAACCAGCCTGCTGAAACCGAAAGTGGTCAGCCCTTGCCACCATGTACAGCCAGGCAAGTCAGCTAAAACCAAAAGTGATCAGCCTGTACCGCCAGTGTCTAGCCAGATCAGCCTGCTGAAATCGAAACTGATCAGCCTTTAGTTTATACAGAATATATTGTAGTTCGATTGTGTAGGAAGCTATAAGCTTATAGACACACTTTTGAATCCGTTCCTGGAACCAACCAGTACTGAGCAATGAATGTAAAGTTTCTTGCTCAAGGAAACAACGACTAGCCCTTGGCGGGGTTTGAACCCATGCGGTTAGCGATCATTAGATTACTATTTCGACGCGTTAACCACTCGGCCATGCCGTAACTTGATCAGTCTTTGCCACCAGTAAAGAGAGAATTCTAGCCTTCCAAAACCGAAAATGATCAGTAATTACCGCACATATAAAACCAAGCCAGCCTGCTGGAACCGAAAGTAATCAGCCTTTGCCACGAATATAGAGCCAGACCTGCCTGCACATCCGTAGGGTATGACCAAGCTCTATTCAGTTGGTATTTCATTAAGTTTCAAATGAATTGTTCAATATTTAAAGCAAGGTCAATGCATTAAACAAACACAAATTCAGCAGTTTAAGTGTTATATTTATTGGAGAACCAGAAAAATACATATACAATATTGAAATGAAAAAACGGACAACTTTTGACCGAAGCAAAAGTAACTTTCAAAACATATCTGAAATATCAACACTGTTAAATGTTTACTTTTACCGACAAGTATTGAAATTAATGATTAAATTCTGAAAATCCAAAACATGTTCGGATTATATACTTATTCACAGAGCCACTCATATAATCTTAAACAGATACCTCTGGAGTGTATGAATACATTATACAACAATACGAGTTGTATTCCTTATATTTAAAATACATGATATTTTAAGTGCTGATATACCATCAAACAGAAAATAACTTGACAAAAAGTATGTACAATTTTATTTATAAATTTTAATATAATGTTAAATACTGAAAACATACTGGCTTTACAATGTCAGTACTGGAAATATTGGATTGAGCTGTTCGTAAAACACAGATAATATATAAAAATATATATGCAATTTTATATGATGTCATACTCGACATCTGACCAAAATACATATAACAGACAGACAATAAATTGGTTACTAACATTCATTATTCATATTTCACATGTTTTCCAGTGCCTGACACTTCTTACAGCTTATTATTTCAAATTGGTTTGTCTTAAATACTTCGTTGGTCAGAATATTAGTAAATATATATTATGTGTAAAATTTTGCTATTTTCTTTTAAGAAATCCGTAACATTTTTTTAATGCCAGTGCGTTTCTTGATTAAGTGAATATATTCATTTGATATTATTTATTTACTCATAATGATTCAAAATGCAACAATGATACTATTTGTTATTCGTCTAAATGGACTCGTATTTTGTAAGATGTTACTTTCACATAGATAAACATGTTACCGTACCTAATATGACACCGATTACATATTTCAAATTACATTGTGTTTGAGATATCAGTAAATTGGCAAAATACCCCGCCATTAATAAAGCATTCTGGTATTGTAATGATAAAACACTGATGGCCAATTTCTATATAAACTAATAACGTTCAAAACTATAGAATAAGTGACTTATACATGAATTAGATACTTATTTTCCAAACATTGCGAGGATTAAAATGGCACTGTATAATATACACTATACACGAATGTTCAGTGTTTTTTTCCATATACACCCCATATATATTTAAAGGATTATTGTTTCTCTGTTCATTGTTTCCTAGTATCTTCCACGATATCTTGTTTTGCAGAAAACAAAATAAATGATCTTATTCACAATGACCATGACTTTTTTCCTTCTGTACAGGTTTTTTGGTTTCAATCAAATCATTTTGACGTCCCAAACAAATAAAAATTAGATTGATCTGTTCGTAAAACACATACAACATAAAAGTATATAAGCATATTTTTTATGATTTCATAATCAACATCTGACACAAATACAAATACTGACAATAATTGGTAAATAACATGCATTATTACAGCACGGACAGGCTTATCACTAAAATGATACATAAGAAGAAACAGTTTGAAACTGATAAGGAATTCAAAAAACACAAATAAATTATTAAAATAATAGGCCCACAAAGTATAAGGGCACAGGGAAATGGGAAAGGAGATTCGGGGAAGGGTAGAGGGGGCGGTAAACTAAGCAAATAGAACTAAGGGCAAAGGGGATGATACTTACCATAGACAAGTAACTAACAAGGGATACACACAAAGTCGTCGCCGAAACAGAATGAAACAATAAAGACATACATCTGAGGAACAAAGAGTGGCGCCGCCTTGGAACGGTCAGCAGCATTAGTACTGCTGGGGAGTTTATACCTACTAATGGTACACCAAACCTCACTCGTAGCCCCACCATATTCCTTTAAACGAGACAATGTACATAAAATGAATTCCCGCCAAGTGAAATTCTAACAGTCGTTATGGTTACAAAAGGTGAAATAAGTAAAACACCGAAATGCTTATATAGAAACATATAAAAGATAACCCAATGAACATAACAAAAGTACTCATTGTTTTAAAGGAAGACAGAGCAACAAGAATATCACCTACAACGTCCTGACGAAGCAATGCAGAAGACGCTATCAGTCTAAATATGTGAACCTTTGCGGCATTATTTCTACTTCGTATCTTTAAGGACTTCAGAAAGCATTTCAAAGCATCGTCCTTGCGGTATTCTTGTTCCATACACTGCCCGAGAAGGTTAAGTGCTGTTTCTCTGTGTCCGAGATTTGGTTCATTATCAATGGTTCTGGAAATGTTAGAGAGAGCCCTCTGTTTATCATCTAGTCTTCCTAGACGGGAATATGTCTTGTACTGCAAAAAATAGAGGTAAGGGAGAGAGTCTACAACGGCCATGTCCATCCATTCATTATCTTCACTTCTGTAAGTAAAGTCTTCCTGTGTTGATCTAAACATTTCACGTTGAAGTTCCAATGGACAACAATTTATTTCACATCGTATAAAGCAGACACATAATGCGGTTATATGTTTAAGCAGTGTGAATTCCACATTTGATTCGTAGCATGATCTGTTGAATTCTTTTTTTCTTAGGGCTTTTTTGAAATCGTAACACGTACACATTGGTTCAACAACACTTAGATCATAACGCTCCTCGATATTTTTTAGTATTAATTCTGTCTTCTCAATATCTTCGGCACAATAGAACATTGATGCTAGTTTCAGCCTACGAGATGCTACATCGGTGTCAATTCCTAATGACATAAATGAAATTGCCTTTTTGTATGTTAAATGGTCTAGTTGTTTAATGTTGGAAGATGCAATAATAGTTCCAAGTGTACCACATAACTGTTGTGTTATCAAACGGTAAGCTATTCTATCTATGTTTGTGAAATTGTCATTATGGTGATTTGGCATTAATGTTAAAAGGTTCTGCATCGTTTGTCTTGGTGAATTATCAGACCTTTCACGTAAGAAAATAAAGGCACATTTATTTACAGCCTGAACAGTATCTGTTAGTAAAAACCCAGCAATGTGAGTCGATATAAAATGTGCATCTCTTGGTAGAAACCCGTTTAAACTTGACTGAAGGGATAAACCAAAGTTGTCGCATTCAATTTCGAGCAATGCCCTCCCATTACTTTCGATTACATATCGAAGAGTTTCAAGTATTAACGGCTTTGTTCCAGGAGTAAATCGCTCGCTCATCAAATTGTTTTGTGTGATGAAGAAATGAGGACAGTATTCATTTTGAACACAGTTGTAAAGTGTTGATAAATAAAATGATAGACAAATAAAGATATTATTTTCCTTCCATTCGTCAAATCTTGTATATGAAATACAATGTAACAAAACGGTTTTACATATAAAACTTGAAATAATATCGGAAAACCTTTTAGGAATAAATGTTTTCAAAATCATTTTCATCAAAACATAACATCTGATTTGTGTTAAATTAAGATTTAACATTAAATACCTCTCTGCTAATGATGTGGATATTCTCCATTCAAACACTTCATTGAAACTTCCCTTTTTTCCAACACCAACAACAAAACAGCCTGTGTTCCTACAGAACTGTATCATATCATTTGTAGGCCAATGTCCTTCCATATGCTGATTCAACCAGTGTTGTGGTTGCACTGATCTTGTCTGACAGGGAAAAGCATTAACAATATCCATATAAAAGACTCCAGGAACACGCTGTAAAGAATGAGCAGGGCCGTTTCTTTCCGCTTCAACATGTCTAACAACATTAACGAATGTATTTTTCAACAATATTCTCCCCATTCCGTCTGTATATGAATGATCATTAACTTCAACTTCTTGTGGAAGTGGAGCATCATCTCTTAATATTTGTAAGAAACAATATCCTAAGGAGACATTCTCATCCTGTATCATTAACAGATTTTGTTTACCATATTCCCATTCACTCAAGTCTTGTATAACATTATAAATGTTTATAGAACCAAGCCAATCTGTGTCAGATTGTAATTCTGGTGTTGTTGTACCTTCTATTTGACTACCGATGACGAACCATTTCAAAGCATTACCGTGTAGCTGTTGTGTTAACGAAAATATTGATTCATTCAGAAGCCACATTCTCCTTCTTTTCTTCACCATCTTCTCATTAACGCCCATCACATCCCCACCAACCACTTGAGACAATCTAATTGATAAATTGTGAGCGTAATCTGGTATTCTCGTCATTCTGAAGTAAAACAGAGATTTTTTTTTAGTTCATAAAAATTCTGTATGTCTTAAAATAATACATTAGAAAAATGTTTTTTACGATCAATAAAAAAATAGAGAAAATAAGAATCGCTAAAGAAAGCCCAACAAAGCAAAATTGAAAATGTTGCAGGCTCGGTTTGATTGAGCATGTTTATGGACGGCAAGGTACTGTCAAGTGCAAACTACAGTCTATGTCCGGCTTAAGTAGAATTCAACCTTTTACATAAACTGGTACAATTTTGAATTTTGATACATCCGCACATGTTCATATAGCGGTTATCAGGGTAACTTCAATGTGACACGTAAGTGCGATTTCATGGAAACAGCATGTGGTCTCCAAGTAAAAACAAGGCGTTTGCCGTAGACGAGAAAACAATGGGTGGAACTGAATAACATGGACTTTTGTAAGGGGATCAGAAGTTATGAAACCTGCATATAACAATTATGTATATCAATGCCTAACAATTAATACTTTGATATAAATCCCTGTAAAACTCGGAAGTGATACATTCAAACAATATAATTATAAAGTGTAAACTTTATTAGTGATTTAAATAAAAGCTTATGATTTCAAATAAAAAAGGGAAAAAAGGTTATACGAGGGATGATCAAAAATTAACCGGACTTTGTAAATGATTCTTAACCTGCTAAATGAATTTACATAACAATTCACGGAAAATAAATCGGAATCTATCCCCTAAATGATACAAAAAATACCAACAAGAAATATTAACAAAGAAAAAAGTTATGCTGTTATTGGCATGCACATGTAAAGCAATGCGGCGCACGGTATAACTTTAAAATTGACGTTAACGACGTCGCAAGCGTATTGTCCTTAACGGAGCAGATTTTTACTCATTCACGGAGTAGGCCAATATGTGGTACAGTCATGTTATTGATGCGGCGGATCCCCTGCCTATATATATTTCTGTACAAGTGGGTATCATATTGTATTGTAATAGAATGAATGGTGATAAAGAGCTCCTGTAATGACGCAAACTTCCGTTATTTCCTTCTGTAACTTGATTGTTGAAAAAATCGCCCATGAAATTAACTATATTATGTATTACAAATAATGTAAAATAATGAGCTGAATGATAATGTATCATTCATACGAAAAAATAACAGAATAATACAACTATGAGCAAAATTGTCATTATTTTAAAATAAATAAAACGCATAGCCAATTGGAACAGTGGCTGTTAAATTGTTGACACAATTTCTCCATAAGACTTTTGCGTAAAATAAGAAAATAATTGATACAATTGTAAACCAAGAATACAATACATGTAATTAATGCATTAACTATTATCATTTTTAGATCCTCAGAGTTGACTGCACCGTCCCGTAGTTACTGTCGAACATCGTTGACAATGTCCGCAGTCAATCGACTGTCATTTTTCATCATCTTGGCGATTGACGTCACCAACGTCCTTGAAAATGTCTTTTTTTTTGTCTCTCCCTTTATTGTTTCTATTTCTCTATTATCCTTTCTTAATCTTTTAAGCTAATCAAAAAATATGCTGTGGCTTTCTGGAACTTTTTCCTTGATAGCCATAATCTTTTTCTACGTTTTAAACAGTTTCTCATCTTACATTTGACAAATTTTTCCTATTAATGATTTTCGAGACATTCCAACGACATAGTTTTACCGCGAGTATTTCATTAACATGTGACGTTTGAATTGTTATTGTAAATATAAATATGGTTTAAATGAAGTCATTTTTATTGACAACGTCAAAGATATGGTACATGACGTTTTGGCGTATTTTGAAATCTAAATGTGCCATATTGTAAAATACACGCAGCATAAAGCGCCTCATGTCAAGGCGAATTTACGCACTGCGCCGGGTGTGCGTTACCATGGTTTTTGAATTCGCTGTTACGGACAAGCTTTTTGTGTTATCAGATTAGATATAGTATCAGTTTATAGGTATTGTTTTCCGATTAAGTGTGATATATAACAATAAGTGATAGGATGAAAATTCTTCAATTGCCAGTCACAGTCCGGTTTATTTTTGATCATCCCTCGTATATATGAACCTAAAATTGAAAATTGCTATTGAAATCGAAAGTTGGAATTTCCAATGTTTCACACCTTAATAAGACAGTTTGAATGGTATCAACAAAGTACTAGATATTAAAGGGAGACACAGGCAAAATGTTCGTTTCATCGTTTTAAATTTTTCATTCATTATTATGTAAATTTGCTCAATTTGAAGACAACAGGCAGTCACAGAAACAAAACTTTTCTCCTTCAAAAGAATAAAATGGTGGTTTCCTAACCTGACCTGCGTGGGTCAGGTTAGAGTGTTAAGATTTCACACTTGTTGTCACAGTAAATTCTGGAAACCTTAAAGAACATGTCAAATGAATGGCTTAGACCTGTTTCAATCAAACAATATTCACAATATCTGTTATTGTAATTGTCACATTAATTTTTTCTAAAATACTATTCGATGTTTATGTCAGCGTCTAAAATTCGTTTAACTATATTTACGCATCAACCCCAAAATAAAAAGAATTTATACAGAAATTTATGTTGGGGTTTCAAAAATGTCATTTAAGCATGATTTGAGTACATAAGATCATTCTAATCCTTTTTTGTCATTAATTTGCCTGAGTATTCCTTTAAAACTTCTTTGAGGCGAAATAAACCTTACTTGTAAATTGAATCTTTCGCAAACAATTTAAAAGTTAAAATAGCTCTTTGATGGCTATTTTTAGGAAGTAAAATGTAATGAGATGCCTGAAAATATGTGAAAATAAAATATCGTGTCTATGAACAAATCATAAGCTTTTATTTAAATCACTAATAAAGTTTACACTTTATAATTATATTGTTTGAATGTATCACTTCCGAGTTTTACAGGGATTTATATCAAAGTATTAATTGTTAGGCATTGATATACATAATTGTTATATGCAGGTTTCATAACTTCTGATCCCCTTACAATTGGGTTCAAATGTCCCGGGTCATCTTTAATTTGGTAAATCGGCTAGATTTAATCAATGTAGTTAATCGACAGTTTAATAAAGATCAATATCAAACACTTAATTTATAAATGTTGCGCCGTTCTTGACCAATTTAATTATGAAAATGCTTTCTAATAAACACTAACCTTGACTCAAAAGTGTTCATTTATTTTAAAGAAAGTGTTTAACTACAATAAACATTCAATTATTAAAATATAAAAAATCACTGTAGTGCCGTAATACGTGAGAATTCATTGTAAAAACAAGAGGGCAAAGATGGCTCTGGATTGCTTGTCAGAGAACATACCACTTGAAATGGTTACAATTTCAATAATGTCAGACTGGTTTTGTCAGTTTTTACTAAAGCATCATATTTTTTCAAATATTTATAGATGTTTTTTACTATCAATGATTCATGACCAATATCTAAGCTGTAGGCATAGCAGTTTCACAGAAGACATAAATGTACTTTCCTGTACAAGTTATTTTATGCTGACCAAGCGATCCTCGGGATGGGTCAATTTTGATCACAGGGTCATCACTTAAATAATTTTGTAGACGTCCACAAGGTTTTGTTACATTCAAAATATATTTTAGGATTGTACTTTAACGAAAAATGTGCATTCATTTTTTTACTAAAGAGACTTAAATATATTAAATATATACAAGTCTATGTAAAATTAATGACCACAAGATCGTTTATATTTGCGCACTTTTAAGATGCATAACACTTTATCTTATCTCATTCAACAGGTTCAAGGAGTTGTCATAAAGACATTTTTAGGTTGATGGGGTATGATTTGATAAATGAATAGTCATTAATCTCAACTACGTGCGGTTGTGGAGCATCATCTCTTAATATTTGTAACAAACAATATCATGGTGAGTCATTCTCATCTTGTATCGCTTATCATGTTCCAATTCACTCCAGTCTTGTATCACATTAAATTTGTTCATAGATATAAGACAATCTGCGTCAGAACTTAATCCTTTCATTTGACTACCGAAGAAGAACTCAGGTATGTAGCTGATGAGTAAACATTGTACTTGATTCAATCAGTAGCATTAATCTCATTTTTTTCATCATTATCCTCTCATTTACACAAATCCCATCAATCATATGAGACATTTTAAGTGATAAATTATTAGCGTTATCTGGTAAAACATAAGCCTGCCCGTACATCAAAAAAAAAATAAAATAACTACGTGACTGACCAAAAACAAGACATCAAGACACCCGAAAAGCTGTTATTATTTTCGTCTATTTAGATATTTTGCAACGAAATTGTATAAACATTTACTTGCAAATAATAAAAATAATTATAATGAAAAATAAAGTTATAATAATTTTATACTTCTAAACTTTTGGACCAGTCTATGCGCTCAATAGACTTCATTTCTAGGTGGTCTTTGACCATCCTGGCCCTATAGGGGCGAGAAATATCGTCCATTAGAATGAAATGATCGCCAACTGCTCCAGCATACAACCTAAGCTGGTTGTCTTAGAGGTCGTCCATGCCGTTAATTATACATCATATCATGTTTTATTATATTAATATATTAAATATTCCTTGTGTCAACAGGATGAGCCAGATATATATATATACATATGTATCAAATGCATTTATCTCAAAAATAACTTCGTTTAAAGAAAGTATAAATTAATTCATTTCAAATGAAGTATCCAAACCATATTTAAAGAAACAGTAAACAAACAAACAAAAAAACATTGCATTAGATAATCTTGGTGACCTTAAATAATTCAAACGTTACATGACAACAGAAAAAATAAATAATGTTTAGATAATAAATATTAAGATAGAGATCTGAAAATTCAGAGCTTTATTCCTTGCATGTCTCATTATGAAGACATAGGAAATCGAGCAAAATCCTATTCTAATTATTACTCTATTATAAAATGTGACTTGTATACGTTTTCCTACATTACTTTCATCCATCTTGTTTGCATTGTAATAACATCAATCATATCTTATCAAATATTGAATGTACATTCTAAGAATTGGTGAGAATATAAACCCCTTAGAACTACATTATCAACTAAATTTAACAAACAATAAATAAAAATGTGTCTACGGCACATCCAAAACAAAATTTAAGAATATAGAAATTAATCTGCATTACTACTGTTGTGATTTCTTATAATGTCTTGTGACATCCTGATATTGTATTGAGTCGTGCATTTCACACTTTTATATAAATGTTAACTAATGTTCTTCATCAGGATTCATGCTTTATGAAACTTAATGCTACCTTCCTTTTTAAATAAAAATGTTTATTATATACTTATAAATGAAATATTGAGAAATATTGATGAAATAAAATGCGTATTTTCATTTTCCGTATTTTCACTGTAAAAATTTATTTTTCACTGCAGTGAAACATATTTTCCGTATTTTCACTGGTGTCTTGCCGGACTACTTTCTTTTAAATTCTGCCAGTACACAAAATTTAAGGGAAAGTCTTTAAAATTTTATCGCAACAAAGTGAAAATGTATATAATAAACAGAAAATTCAAGTTTTTTCTATAATTACATGATTTATTTTCATCTTCTGGCATGAAAATTACCATATTTCACTCGTGGCTACCGCCACTCATGAAATATTTATTTTCATACCACTCGATGAAAATAAATCATGTATTTATAGAAAAACTTGAATATCCTCTATATCGTGTCGGGAATAAAAAGGCATAAATAAGCACTTTTCGACAATATCTAATTTTTTAATCCCAAATTATTTTCAAATTCAATATCTCAATACTGACAAGATAAGAAAAATAAACCTCTCTTTATTGTCTTGTCTTCCTCGTTGGTTTGTCTTGTACTGTGAACGAAAAGGAAATGAGGAGACTCCGCCACAGCAAATTGCACTAAAAAGTCCTGACACCTGTAAGCAAATGTCCCTGTATCGATCTTAACAGTTCATGACGAACAATTGTTTTGTTGGTTTGTGTGTTTGTTTCTCTCTGTATTTATACTGGTATTGGTCATATCTCAGTGGTACGTGCACATAACGTAACCGGCTTGTTTTACATAACTACCTAGTAATTGACATTACGCTGCCTGTCAATCAAGCTGGCAGGGTTCACAGAGATAAGTCAATCAACGATCGTTATCAGTTTCATGCTAAGATGCCTGCGAGGTCCACCATTTTCCTGAGACAAGCCACCTGTCAAAGACAATAGTGCAAAAGTAATTTAGATTTATTTTTTAAATTTTCTGTCAATTAGAGCTGTTTAAACGGTATATTAATTAAGTTACCAAGCATTGAGAGATCGTGTAAGATATTTCATTACACAAAAACTCAATAAATTTATACATATGGAAATATCAAATTTTGTAGTAGTTACGATACAATTATTCTGCATTTGAAAATTTTTTTCATTGTCATTATATCTTTTCAAAAACACATATGTAATAAGTTCTAAGAATATCCAAAGGATATATGACATTTTTTCGTTTATAACGTAATGTGTCAATAAAAACGCAGTGGTAAACAAATGCAAATGTAATGAGTAAATACAATAAAAAAATGTATGAAACCATCTAACCTGAATATTTCTATAAAAAGTCAATAGATAAAGATTAAATATTCAAAAAGATCTAAAACTAACACCATCATGTCTGACGCATGTGAAGTTTTTTTTTTAAAGAGAATAACGTTGTATGGGTCGTGAATATTAAATGCATGCAAACAATACGTAATCAAATCGCAAAGACATGCTTTTTTTGTTTTTGTTTTTGTTTGTTTTGAGGTTTACGTCACACCGACACAGTATAGGTCATTTGGCGACGTTCCAGCTTTACTGTTGGAGGAAGACCTCTGTGCATTTTTTCAGGCACGAATGGGCACCTGAGTAGAACCGCCGACGTTCCGTAAGCTAGCTGGATAGCTTCCTCACATGAGAGAATCCAAAGTCCCTGTCGGGATTCGAACCAACAGCGGTGAGGGGCAACAAGGGCATGCAATTTTCTCAAATAATTTAAACAAATCATAAACAAATAAAAAGAGGATATTGAATGAGTGAAGTTTAATACAAAATTTATTGAACGAGTTGAATAAAATCATATTATGCGAGCCTCTGGCGAGCATAATATTGTTTTATTCAACGAGTTCAATAAATTTAGTATTGAATCTACACGAATATAATATTCTATTTATCACATAATATAAAATAAGAACAATAAACTGTAAAAATGAGTAATTTTTCAACGACGCGCCTATAGTGTAACGCTAACATTAGCGCGCTTTAACGCTATGTTTCTATATAGCGCAAATGACGTCACGTCAAAGTGTTATTACACTAGTGTAATATCGTTTTTATTAAATGGCTTTATTACACTCCTGCGCCGCGGTTTATGTGATAAATGTATTATCTAGACTGAATTTCGCACATAAAACCAGGAAAATGATTTTAATTTTCATTGTGTCTCTTAAATGATTTTACTGTTTTTGTTTTGCTACTTCAATTTTAAAATTACACGATCAAAACATAAGAATATTCTTTTCTAAATATAATCTCTCTTTGAATTTGTAAGATATAATGATATTTTGTTCTTTAAGATTTTCATTGAAGTCAACAAGAACTAACACGATCTTTGTAAAACGTTTCATGCGTCATTAATACATGAATGCAGATATTTTCTACTTTTTTGAAATACGGTAATACATCTATACATTGAATAATACTATTCAATAAAACCATTTCAAGCATCAAAATTTTATCCATACAAAAATCATAAAAGGTAAATTCATTGGTAACAAAACTGGCACAAAACAGGTTTGCGAAAATATCGGTACCGTACGTATTTTGTCTTAGGTTCTTACTGGCCGGATCACGTGAATCAGTGGGCGAAGCGATCTCTTCTCTGGCGAAATGTCAGTTACCAATTTCTTCACAAGCGTAGAATCTACAGTGAGTGACAAATGACCGTTTGATCATTATTGTCCGGGATCAATTGTCACGGAGGATCTAACCAGCAACTCATGGCATATTTATCCGATGTTCTCCCAACTGAGCTTAGCAGGTGGACTGCTACCAAACAAGAATGTCACATTTATTTAAGTTAACTTCAGACTTACAATGCTCTATAATCATGACATTTTTATACATTTTTCAAAATCGATTCTGTCCTGGAAGACCGTTTTGTAGTATATGATTTAGATTAAATATAATGAGGACAGAATCCATTTAATGTACAACTGTAAATTATTGAACAAAAAAATGATCGGGAAGTAGGCAAAGGAATTTCTTTCTATGTATTTATTTATTTTAGAATTTAAAATAAATACACATTAAATAACTTCTTCATCTTCAAAAAATGATTATTTACAAGACCTAGAGAAGAAATAAGGACAATGCGTTTATCTTATTTCATAATTTACATTTTATTTGGCAAAAGAAGAGCACATCTCATATCGTTTAGCACTAAGTTTCACAATTCTAATCACAAATATTGAAAAAAAAAACATTTTAAATTCTTTACAAAGAGCATTATTTAAAAATAAATCATGTTTTTAGGTTCATTTAGGTTTACTTCAAATATGTTAAAAGTGTTATACCTTAATATCACTTAGTACATAGAATATACACATAACAAGGACATCAATATATTTAATGCATTTGAATGTGATATTATGCCGTCTCATATGCTAAATACACTTATGTCCTATAAATTCAAAAATGGCATTGTGTAGTCAAACAAAAAGCTCAATACGTTTACATATTGTATGGCGTACTCATACATGAAGCTCAATACATGTATATATATATATATATATATTGGGTAGTCACGCATTACGCTCAATACTTGTATATATGGTATTGCGTAGTCACTCACTATGCTCAATATTCTGCAACCAATTGTATAAACAATTTAATCGCATGGCACATAAAAGGAGCACTTTTCAACAAGACATGGAGTCACACAAAATCTGACGTTTGTCCGCTAAAATTACGTCACGTCGCGATGCATCATGGGTAAAATTACTCCGGTTAAACTTCCAATTTTGCACGGTTATGTTACGGTGGTTAATTAAATTTGTTTATAGAAATGGAATAACCGAGCAGAAAAACTAACCTCGATATATGGCACGGTAACTAACTTACTATGGTATCTTTTAACCATCGTTTATACAATTAGCGTTGATGTTAAAAATACAGCGTATGTAAGCAATGTTTCAATTATCTTTAAAATGTTTGATTTTAGAATAAACATCATTAAACTATGTCCGAGATTTGGTTCAACATCAATGATTCTTGCAATGTTAGACAGAGTCCTCTGTTGTTCATCTTGTCTTCCAAGACCTGAGTATGTCTGCAAGAAATAGAGGTAAGGGAGAATTCTACAACAGCCATGTCCATCAATTTATCACTTCCACGTCGTCTGTCAGCAACTTTTTTCTGTGTTGATCTAAACATTTCATGCTGTAGTTCGGATGGACAACAGTTTATTTCACATCGTATAAAATAGACACACGATGCTGTAATATGTTTAAGCAGTGTGCATTCTTCATTTGATTTGTAGCATACTCTGTTGAATATTTCTCTTCTTGCATATTTTTGAACTCGTTACATCCGCACACTGGTTCAACAACACTCGGATCATAACACTCCTCGAAGTTTTTCAGGATAAGTTCAGTCCTCTCAATATTTCCGCTACAATAAAACACTGATGCTAGTTTCAGTTTACCATATGCTACATCGGAGTCAAGTCCTATTGACATCAATGATAGCGCCTTCTTGTATGAAAAAAGGTCTTGTTGGTTAATGTTAAAACATGCTAGAATAGATCCAAGTGTACTACATAAATATCGTGATATCAAACGGTAAGCTTTTCTATCTATGTTTGTAAAATTCTCTTTATGGTGATTTGACATAAATGCCTTTAGTTTTGGAATCGTAAGTCTTGGTGATAAATCAATCATTTCTATTAAGAGAAGTATGACACTTTGACTTACAGAATTGAATTGGCAGTATTTCTTAATAATTGTCCAACAGTAAGAGTTGGTATAATATGTGAATGTATCGGTACAAAATCGTTTAAACTTGATTGTACATATGGACCAAAGTTGGCGCATTCAATTTTGAGCAATGCCCTTCCATTACTTTCAATTACATATCGAAGAGTTTCAAGAAGAAATGTCACATTGGGCTAGTCATTCTTTACAAAAGCATCATAATTTTGAAAATATTTGTAGATGTTTGCTACTTACAATGATTCATGACAAATATCTAAGCTGTAGCATAACAGTTCCACAGAAGACATAAATGTTCTTTCCTGTACCGGTTAATATAAGGTAAGCGATCCTCGGGATGGGTTAATTTTGATCTAAGATTCACCACTTTCATGAAAATTGTAAATTTAAGAGACTTAAATATATTTTCATATACAAGTGAGTGAACCCGGGGTGAGTTCATATGAGATCGTTCATATTTGCACACTTATGAGATGCAAAACACTGTATCTTAAATGTTAATTGTCCAAGCACAATTCAAATCCACAAATAAGACCATGGTCAGTTCATCAAAATTCACTTTTGACCTAAAATGTCAAGGTCAAGTAAAGATTAAAATCAACATCAATTCGTTTTTTTTCTTTTGTCTATACATTTATTGTTTCCAAGTACAAAGAAAACCATTTATAAATAAGAAAGCTTAAGCCTGTTATAGAGAATAATTTCAAGCAAAATGAAAAATTTGACACTGAAGGTCATTGTCATTTATGAATCAAAGGTTAAGTTTAGTCTGATATACTTGAAGGTCTTGTCAAAAGTACTTAATTTTGGTAACGAATCTGTGATATATTCCCATTTGGAACAAGATAAGCTTATAAATATTTTGATGGACAACACATATAAAATAAACATTTACATTGTGGTTAGCTCAACAGTTTATGGACCTTTTCTAGAAAATAATGACGTAATTTAGCATAGCAAGTGCAATGGATTACGAATGTTTTTCAAATAGATAACTGCGTAAAATAAAAGGAATGTATTGCTTTAAACCCACATTAAGTGCATTAGGTTTCTCTGACTTCCTTTATAAATGTTCGTAATGAATCTTAAGCAAACATTCTATATAATCAAAATCATTTATCACAAGTTTGTGAAATTGTTTTTGACATGTTTTTTTCACCGATATCAGTGAAGTTTAAAGTAAACATACACTTGGCATTTATCTATAGATAAATAGATTTATTTCGGTATAAATTACATGGATATCTAAACAACATGTACGGTACAATACTTTTGACATGTACGGTACAAGTACATGTATTGAACAAAAATGAGAATAGATAATGATATGCACACAAGCACCAGTGATAGCACAAAAAAAACTATAGTAAATTAGTTAGTTATTTAGATTAGTTAATAAAGTAAGTTAAAGGTAAGCTGTGTAAAGTGTGACAGGTAAGTTGGTAGGATGGTAAGTATAGCAAAAAGAAAGTAGGATTAGTTAAAAAAAATGATATAAAACGGAAAATCTTGGTGTAGATACATGTATACAATTATATATAACACATACATTTTTTACAAAATACTGCTTTTTATAAAAAAGTGAAGAAATAATTTTTTTTTTAAAAAATATTCACGAATGAATGAATGATGAATAAATGAATGCATTAATGAATCACATATAGGAATAAATAAACGTAATCATGGATAGAATATTGATAATAAAAATGTAGGCAATATATCATCAGTATTCAATTATTATAAAATGAAATCACGACTATATTTAAAAGATAATAGAATTATTTTTAAGAAATCAGAAACAGCAAATTAAATGAGGATAAGCTAGTTTAAAAGAACTTAATCGACGCTGACTACATTATTTTGTCTTCTTTGATAATATTCTAAACGTTCATGCAAAGTTCTTATTAAACAAAAAGATATTTACCTTTTGTGTTTTTGTCCTTGCAGGGTAAATGTACATGAATTGATGAAATTGTCCTTGCAGAGTAAAAATACATAGATTGATGAAAACTGCACTTGTGTAAATTTTGAAGATTTAAAACGAAAATTGGGAAGTTCGATCATTTTGTACGTGACACACACCACGTATTCATGAAACGGAACTAAACATTAGGTGTCAAAGGTTGATACTCTAATTCCATTTATTTCACATGTCTATACCATGTTTATGTGAATACATTACGGACCGCGTCTTTATTGCTGTCACCCAAGGAATTTGTGGCATTAACAGATTTATTTACTTTACTAAATAAACGACCCCCTTTCGAGACATTTTATCAGGAATACAGATGAACATATACTGTCAGAATATGTAAACTTTTTATCGATTCTGACACTTTATTATAAAACAAGGGTGCCATAGTCACAAAATACGCCCGTTTACGAAAGCTTTAGATGGAGATGGGGGCATTATGGATAAGTGTTATCTAGCAAGCAAGTTTTTATTCTTGGCACTGTGTTGTTAAATGAACCTTAAAACAAATCAGTAGGGAAGATATGCACAGGATGTGTGACCTTGACCTTGGTCGCAGGGACCTGAATTTTATGCACGGCACTCAGCCTCACAATGATGAACATTTGTGCCAAATTATATTGAAATCCCTCTATGCATGTAGAAGTTTTGCTTAGGAGATATGCTCCAGACATTATCTGGATATTTCACCATCTTTAGTGACCTTGACCTTGCATATATTGACCTAAAGTAAATGTGTCACAGCCGTAGTCATGATAATGACCATTTGTGTTACAATCCCTCAATAAATGATGATTAAATCGTCCCTATACACATCTTCATATTTTTATCTTAACTTTGACCTCTATGTGTGACCTTGACCTTCGCTGCAGGGACCTGAATTTTGTGTGCAAAACTCCGCCTCACAATGGTGAACATTTGTGCCAAGTTATATTGAAATCCCTCTATGCATGTGGAAGTTTTGCTCCGGATAAGCGTTTTTCAATGAGCTGTAAGTGTGACCTTGATCTTTGACCTAGAGACCTAGTTCATGTGCGTGACATGGCTTCTCATAATGGTGAATATTTATATGAAATTTCGTTAAAATCCCTCCATGCGTGTAGGAGATATGCTCCGGACAAAATCTGGATATTTCATCATCTTTAGTAACCTTGATCTTGTATATATTGACCTAAATTATATGTATCACAGCCATAGTCTTGATAATGACCATTTGTGTTACAATCCCTCAATAAATGATGACAAAATGGTCCATATACACATCTTCATATTTTTATCTGAACTTTGACCTCTATTTGTGACCTTAACCTTGGCCGCAAGGACCTGAATCTTGTGCGCGACACTCCGCCCCGCAATGGTGAACATTTGTGCCAAGTAATATTGAAATCCCCTCTATACATGTGAAAGTTTTGCTCCGGACAAGCATTTTTCAATGTGCTCTAAGTGTGACCTTGACCTTTGACCTAGAGACCTGATTCATGTGCGCGACACTGCTCCTGATAGTGGTGAACATTTCTATGAAATTTCATTAAAATCCCTCCATACATGTAGGAGATATGCTCCGGACAAAATTGGACGCCGCCCGGATATTTCATCATCTTTAGTGACCTTGACCTTGTATATATTGACCTCAATTATATGTATCACAGCCATACTCTTGATAATGACCATTTGTGTTACAATGCCTCAATAAATGATGCATATCTTGTGTGGTCTTTCGTACTTCATTTTTAAAATGTGTAATCAATGTTTTAAATTATTTGCTTGTGTTGAATAAACTCAATGTTTAATATGACATGAAATATTTTTTTAATAGTTCGCCTGAGTAAAGTCTAAAGTTAACTAACCTGACGTCCTTTAGAATATATATAGCGACATACCTGGCATCATTTACAAGGATTCATTGTTTCCATAAATTACACATACGGCAATTACTTAACTTTGATCATATGTCATTCATAGCAAAACATACGGGTTTCCAGGAATCAATCGATGACGGTAATTAAGTTAATTAAAGAAGACTCAAAGCGCAATTATAACTATTGTCTAAATTCTATTCTGTTTGAATAGTTTTCGTCAGCGCGTTGATCAGCTCCAATTATTCCGGCATCGATTAATATATATGTGTGAATATATTTTATAATGTACAATCGTGACGGATATTTTTCTTCGAAATATAGTAGGTATTTTGATAATGCGTTTCGAATAATACATTCGTATTCATGTTACTAGTAATTTGTAAAGAGATACAAATGGGATCGCCGATCTACTTCAGATAATAACAAATATTCGAATAAATGGTCGTCGCATAACCGGGGTCGGACTGTATAAAATCTCAACGGGTTAAAGGAGTTGTCATAAGGACATCTTTAGGTTGATTGGGTATGATTTGATAAATGATGTCATACATACGCTTATCAGTAAATAAATGCGTAATACAACCCTACATGCTTGATCTTGTGCATTGTACTTCAAACCTGAGCTTGTTATTTTAGAATTCAAAAGTGTACAATGCAGTCAAAATCAATTATAATTTAATTACAATAACAGAACATGGCATAATTTTATTTTGGATTTGTACTCAGTATATCATTACTTCATTCAAGATCCATAATAATTTCGTGAGTTTATAATCTTCGACATTGATTAAAGGCATTCCTTACATTTACATCAAATCTAAAGACAAGTTTAAGTACAGTGTATTTTCTCTATAAAAACTTCCGTTATGAATCCTCGTCAAACGTTATGAATCTATAACTTTTAGGCTATTCTTATTGCATGTTAAATGTAATGTTTTGTAACAATCGTTCGAAATGGAAACCTTGTTTTGATAAGAAAATAGTTATTGGACTATATAAAACAAATTCTGCACTTATAAGCGATAAAAGCGATAAAAACAGATGGCTCTAATTGTTGCAGAATTTGGAACACATTTGATTATCAAAAAGAAAGAAAAAAATATCAACACTACACAGAAAAATAAAACGAACATCCCCTCCCCCCGAAATAAGGAAAAAATATACTAAAAAAATTTGAGGCAAATTTAAAGCTGTCTGACAGTTATTTAAGTTAAGACTGTTTGAATATCATAATATTTTTCCTTTCCAATACTTTTTCTTTTCCTTATACCTATATTTAGATTACTTCTAACAAAAAACATTGCATTAGATAATCTTGTTGAGCTTTAATTATTCAAAAGAAATCAGATGTTTGGAAAATCTAAAATGATAAACTTACATTGCATTTGTACAGTTTGAAACCAAAAGTTGAAAGATCATATGATCCAAATGTTATCATGATATCAGTTAGTGGCATGTTTCAATGACATGGTTGATTAGATAAATGTTAGGCTAGTAACACAAAATTAACATATGAATGTTAAAATAAGTTTTCGTTTTGTATTTATACATTAATTTTACATTAAAATATTACAATTGATAACTATAAAATTATAAATGATGAAATATTGTTTGCATACAAACTCTCATAATGTGTTATAGAATTAATGCTTGTAACCTTATTCCCTGTCATGGTGTAAACTTTGCTGAATTATATATGACAGATTTTAATCTTTTTAATCTTAAATATGCGAAATTATAGATTTTTCCCCGGTTATTTCCTTTATTGAAGCATAAGATAATGATTGGTGTAAAGACTGTTTAAAACTTCGCGAAATGATTGAACGTGAAAGAAATAACAATACAAAATATATAATATAATTATTTGGTATCGAAAAGCTTGATTTTGAGTAATGTGCTCTAAAAATGACTCAAACAAGCTAAAGCTCTTTTCAGAATCAGAAAGCTCAGAAAGTATAGAAACAACTATCGTCTCATTTATTTGTTTCAAATCATCATTTTCTTAAATCAATGAAAATTCTATCCAATAGTATTTTTTTTTCTTTGCCCGTGTAAAATATTGTTGTACTGCGGGTTATGTGAATTTTTATTTAGAGAGTGGCGGGCTTTGATGTTACGCTTAAAGTTAAAATTTTCATCCTATCTACAAAATTAATTGATAAAAGTGATCTACTTTTTTATAATTTACTTAATTTACTTGATTCATTGTTGAGAACAAACAATAAAAGATATAGGCGAATAATTAGACATTTTTATAGTGTAATGCATGTCCTGCCATTGCTTAAAGATTAACGCGTTACTCGCGCTTTTCATTATCAAACCATCGCACAATCATAAGTGATCAAATTACTCATTGTTACTAAAAATACCATGCATTCCATAAACTAAACTAGAGTCTGTATAGAAAATAAGTTTTGACAAAAACCTACTGTCATCTTAAATAACGGTTTTCCGATAATCATAATGTCCACTGAAAACAAGCATCTGACATGTACGAAAGATAGGTTAGGACATTTCAACTTTATGAATTCCCGATTTCATCTTTATGAATTCCCGATTTCAACTTCATGAATTCCCGATTTCATCTTTATGAATTCCTAATTTCAACTTCATGAATTCACGATTTCAACTTCATGACTTCACGATTTACATCTGACAGGATGAAAATACGTGCAATAAAACATGAAACCGAAAGTAGGAATTTCTGCTAAAATCAAGAACACAAGACATATAACATTGGATTTGACGATTTAAAGGGAGACAACGTTTTAGTTCATTTTTTATGTTCTTAAATTACATTACCTTCCCGCTATACTACATATGTATTTAATGAATATATTGAGATATGTATAACAAGCCTAAGAACACACATTATTTGTATAAGCATAAATGTACAATAATACGAGTTATGAATTACGTCGGCGTTAAGATATCAGTAGACAAATAATAATTCCGATAACTAAAACTAATGTGTAATAAAAATAAACTTATTAAACATTTAAAGATGCCATGTAACTGGAACTGGAAAAAATGTTGTTTTTGGGGACGGGAGTGGGAAATTCATTAGATGATTCATATGTATTGACATTTTCCAATCTTGTTGATGTTTTAATGATTTTAATTATCTCGGACACATAGACTCATAGATATAACAAATGCATTGATTTAAAAATTTAGGATATACTTTACTGAACAGTAAAAAAAAAAATTAAGCAATCTTTCATCGATCAATACTTACAAGTAAATAAAAAAAATCCTTTAATACATTTGAGATAACTTTATTTTTAACACAATAACACAAATCATGTATTTTTGTACTGTTCTTTTTGTTCTTTTGTAACAGGTACTTTCAAATAAATGATGGGATCAAATTAAATGATATTGTCACAAACGATTTAAGTATAAACACTTATTCATACCATTTGTTAAACAAGAAGAATGACACTGTTTGTTTTAATTTTATTGCAAAAAATCGAACACATTTTATATCATATGATAAAGCAGCGATATAATACCGTAAAATCTATACAGTACACATAATATACACACAACAAGGATTTCAAGATATTAATGCGTTTATGTATGGTATTGTGTAGTCACAATACGTTTATATTATTAGTTATAAAGATTGTTGAAAGGTTACATTGCCCTATATTAACGGCTGTTTGTAAATATAACCGGAGCCCCTAGGCGAGGGTTATATTGCAAACAGTTGTTTATATACGGCCATATAACATATCAACAATCTTTGTAACGAATTTATAATACAACAAACATCATTTTTTAGAGAAAGGAAGTAAGATTTCTTCATGAATCGACAACAGCCGTGTATATAAAACTATATAAACGTCACGATTACCCAATGAAAAGCGACGTAACAAACGTGCAGTATTATAAATGGTTTTGTGTAGTCACACATCATGCTCAATAAGTTCAGTACGTTTATAAATGGTATTGTGTAGTCACTCAGTATGCTTTATATCTTATAGATCAATACGTTTATATTAAGTAATTAATATTAATTAAGTATTGTATAGTTACACATTATGTTCAATACCTTTATGCAGAAAACAAGGACATCAATGTATTTAATGCTTTTATGTATTTGGTATTGTGTAGTCACAATACGTTTATGCTCAATGCGTTATCATAAAGTATTAGTAATACATTTTGCTTAAACCATTTATGCTTCAAACGTTCATATATAACATTATGTTGTCACTAATTTTGCTCAGTACATTTATGCACCATACGTTTTAAAAATGTATTGTATAGTCACACATTATGCTCAATATGTTTATGCACCGTACGTTTATATATGGTATTTGGTAGTCACTCATTATGCTCAATTATCCGATGTAAAAATGAATAAACATGTATTCTGTTAACACATTGCAATGTTATACAAAATCTTAAAAATTCATATTTTTTTGTAAAATTCATGATTAATAAATACGTAATGAGAATTTGAAATTCAAATAGAAGATAAACATCAGGAAAGAAAACTTCAAACAAAGATACGTTGAGTGTAGTTTCTTTTGTATATACATGTATGATTTATTCAATAGAAATACGTTTATTTAGGACTCTTTAAATAATTTCCTCATCAAATCATATGTTATTAACTTAAAGTTAAAATCAATAACTGTGATGATAAGATCACAAATATGACTTTTGCCAAATTATTTCGTCCTCGTAACTACAGGGATAGCAAAACATTTTTTATTTCATTGTTTAAAATTTTCACTGTTTAATAATGCATAGGGCTGTACAACTTTTATGTTCGAAACTTTGTCCATTCAACAAGGTAAAACTGGTGTATTTTTGTTCGTCAAGACATATTTGATTGATGGTAATACAAAAATACAGTTCTTTCAAAACATGTAAATACTAGTTATTAATCAATTTGTTTAACAGCTTACAAATATTGATTTTTGCCGAATTATTTCGTCCTCTTATCTGAAGGGAACGTGCATAACATTTGAAAGCATTGTCTAAATTATTCTCTTGTTCCATACACTGGCCGAGAAGATTGAGTGCTGTTTCCTTATGTCCGAGATTTGGTTCAACATCAATTGTTCTGGCAATGTTAGAGAGAGCCCTCTGTTTATCATCGAGTCTTCCTAGACGGGAATATGTCTTGTACTGCAAGAAATAGAGGTAAGGGAGAGAATCAACAGCAGCGAAATCCATCCAATCATCATCTTCACTTCTGTGAACAAAGTCTTCCTGCGTTGATCTAAACATTTCATGTTGAAGTTCGAATGGGCAACAGTTTATTTCACATCGTATGTAACAGACACATGATGCTGTTATGTGTTTTAGGAGTGCCCATTCTTCATTTGATTCATAACATAATCTGTTGAATATTTCTCTTCTTGCATATTGTTTGGAATCGTAACACCCACACACTGGTTCAACAACACTTAGATCATAACACTCCTCAATATTTTTCAGGATAAGTTCAGTCCTCTCCATATCTCCGGTACAATAGAAGACCGATGCAAGTTTCAGTTTACCAGACGCTACATCGGAGTCAAGTCCTAATGACATGAATGAAAGTGCCTTCCTGTATATAAATTGGTCTTGTTGGTAAATGTTTAAAGATGCTAGAACAGATCCAATTGTACAACATAAATATCGTGTTAACAAACAGTAAGCTTTTCTATCTATGTTTGAGAAATTCTCATTGTGGTGATTTGACATTAATGTTAAAAGTTTTTTAATCGTAAGTATTGGTGATAAATTGTAATTATCACGTAACAGACATTGGAAGTGCACGCCTTGAGCAAGGGCTGTATCTATTAGTAACCGTCCGGCAATATGTGTTGGTACACAATGTGCATCTATTAGGTTAATACCGTTTAAACTTGACTGAAGAAATAAACCAAAGTCGTCGCATTCAATTTCGAACAATGCCCTTCCATTACTTTCGATTACATAACGAAGAGTTTCAAGTATTAACGGCTTTGTTTCTGGAGTAAATCGCCCGGTCATCAAGTTATTTTGTGTGATGAAGAAATGAGGACAGTATTCATTTTGAACACAGTTGTAGAGTGTTGATAAACAAAATGATAGACAAGTAAAGAGGGTATTTTCCTTCCATGCGTCAGATCTTGTATATGAAATACAATGTAACAAAACGGTTTTACACATGAAACTTGTAATGCTGTTGGGGAACATTTGAGTAATAAAAGCTTTCAAAATCATTTTCATCAAAACATAACATTTGATTTGTGTTATGTTAAGATTGAACATTAAAAATCTCTCTGCAACTGATGTTGATATTCTCCATTCAAATGTTTCATTTACACTTCCTGTTTTTCCAACGCCTACAACAAAACATTTCGTGTTTCTACAGTACTGTATCATATCATATGTAGGCCAATGCTCCTCTCTATGCTGATTAAACCAATGCCGTGCTTGAACTGGTCTTAATTGACAAGGTAAGGCAATAACAAAATCACCAGCTTTGACTCCAGGAACAGCTGGTGTAGTATGAGCAGGGCCGTGTCTTACTGCATAAGCATTAGGGACAACATTAAAGAATGTATTTTTTAACAATATTCTCCCCATTCTGTCTCTATATAAATAGTCATGACATTTAACTACTTGTGGTAGAGGCGCATCATCTCTTAACGCTTGTAACAAGCAATATCCTGGTGAGACATTCTCGTCTTGTATCATTAACAAATTACACTTACCATATTCCCATTCACTCCAGTCTTGTATGACATTAAATTTGTTCAGAGACGTAAGACAATCTGTGTCAGAATTTAATCCCAGAGTTGTTGTTCCTTCTGTTTGACTACCGAAGAGGAACATATTTAAATCATTACCGATTAGCTGAAGACTTAACTTAAATAGTGATTCATTCAGTAGCATTAATTTTCTTCTTTTCATCACAATCTTCTCGTTTACACCAATCAAATCCATCACTTGAGACATTTTAAGTGATAAATTTTGAGCAAAATCTGGTATCCTTGACATTCTGAAATAAAACATACATTCATTTGTTTTTTTAGAATTTTCTGTATTTCTTAATACAATACATTAGATTTCACGATAAATAAACAACAATTTATACTTTGAAATGGATCCCTGTAAAACACGGATGTGACACATTTAAACAAAATATTTATAAATTGTAACTTTTATAGATGATTTAACTATTTATATATAAAAGCTCACCATTTCAAATAAAAAAGGGAAATAAAGTTATATATTTACCTTAAATTGAAATTGTACAATACGAAAACGAAAGTTGGAATTTCCAATGCTTCACACATTAATTACACAGGTTGAATGGTACTAAAAAGTAAATCAACAAAGTACTAAATATAAATCCTTATTTCCTTATTTGTAAATTTCAAATCTTACACAGACAATTGAAAAGAAATAATCGCTTTATGGTGGGTATTTTATAGGATAAAATCATAATTGTTTGACGCTTAAATATATAGAGGCTTCAAAAATATTTCTTATACATATAGACATGTAGACATTTTATTTCTTACTTATACATATATTTTATTTTGAACTTTTATTAGAGAAACCGGATTAAATTTAAGAATGTTTCTCATCATTTTGACAAGTCTTCAAAACTTTTATTATAAATAACTTTACTAGATGTACACTTAATTGGTTACGTAATATCATATAAATAACACATGGGTTTGTGGGTAACAGTAAAAATATCATCCCGAGGAAAATACTATTGACATAGCTAGATAACAGAGATAAGCAGCTCCTTTTTACTTCATTGAAATGTCACTCATGCCTATCAAAAAGTGAAAAAATAGACATTTTATAGCAAATAAAACTTAATGGATGTACATTTGATCCTTTAATACTTTATACCATTCGAAAGGTAAATTTTTTATCTATTGCTGCATGTTAAAATATTGGTAACTTTCCATGCCTTTCAGTTAGAAAAACATAGCAGAACATACCCACTGAGCCAGTTTTTTTGTCAAATAAATAGTTTTGTAACAAAAATTAATAGGTAGTGCTCTTTAAATTGATGTATCATTTATTTAAATGGGAACTTTAAATATTTTTACCTGCAGCCATAGACAAATGCATAAGCTTTCAGAAAATGTATTACTTCATGATTTTGATATCTGGTTAATAAGTTTTACTTGCTACAAGTTTTAAGTTTAGCAGGAACGCGTGATATTTTAACTGGTTAGGAAGTTGCCTATCTCTGTTATCTATGTCTCTGCCGAGGCGTGGCCGAGGGTAACAGTTTTTTTTTACGAGGGATGATATTTTTACTGTTACTCACAAACCCATGTGTTATTTATTTTATTACCCCGAACAATAATTGTGTGATGATCTGAAATTGTAAACTAAATCAAACTGTAACAAAAATAAACCAATAATAACAATACAGTAACTTAACTGTCCTTACCATTTAAGTTTTAAGAGTAGACTGTATACTTTAGGCCTACTTGAGAAGTTTTCTTTAATTCTTAAAGCAAGTGATGTCTAGATATCTAGTCATAAACATGCAATAAGCTGTGTTGTATATAGAAAAACAAAAAAAACTATACCATTTATACGGTTATGATCTGTGAAATCAGATCCTTCTGTTTCCAGAATATTCTTCGCATGGGTTTCGACAAAAGAACGATGATATCCTATGTCTGTCCTCTATATTTGTAACGTTTCACTGATTAATTTTTTTAAAATAATCCTTTGTTGCAAGCTTAAATCGTCTGCATGTTCCAAATTGACACATAATTATTTACAATGCAATTACTTCCGTTGGAAACGGATGTTTACTTTTTGACTATTCAACTAAAGGTCAGGGTATCGCATTGTAACATGGCCAGCGATTGGCTGAAAAAAGTGCAGGGAAAACCGTATGGTTCAATTTGTAAATACATGAGGTATGTGAAAGTGGGGTATGTTTAAGTATAAAAACTAATTTAAAAAGTAACACTAGATTGTTTTCTGAAGAAAATGAAATATTTCATGAGTCTCTGTGATAATTTTGACTCGGATATTTGCATTTATAAAAAGTGTATTTCAGTCCTGTGATCAGCAGAAAATTTCAATGAAATGGGGGTACTGATTACAGTAATCCTCTTTGAAGTCATTTTGCAAAAAAAAAAATGGCTGGCTACCCCTATATAATAGGAACATTTTTAATGTGTCAGGCATTTCATTCTGCTAGAAAAATTACCTCTTTAGCATGAAGGTAGGATTAGGGACCATTTCTTATAATGTAAGTATATGGAAATATAAATGTGAGTGTCTGACCTAAAAGTTATTTTATACCAGTGTGCAAGAGAAGATATGTTGTTGTCCTATGAATCAAGAAAAAATGGCGGCTATGTTATTTCATTTTATTTAGTAAATAGAGCACGTGAGACCAGATTTTATACTGTTAAAAATATTGTTACCCATGTAACAGTACAAAATACTTTGTAAAGTGGTACACTTGCATTAAAAGTAATAATAACTCCCAGAGGCCTTTGGGAAATTAAGATTACAAAAAAAGTGAGGGATAATAATAAATTTTGTTCAATTTGACTGTGATCATTCTTGGATAAGTACGATGTGACCAGCGAAAATAGAAAAAGTTAAAATCATTCTGTGGTGCTACAAGCAAAATGTTATGAGATGCCTGGAAAATATGTAAAAATATAATATCACATCCATTATGAACATTTTATTTATTATGATACAAAAAAAAACGAATTTGTTTTTTTTTATTTGTCAGGACATCTTGCATTCATACCAGCATCATAATATTCCTTATTGTATTATTGTTCTCGTAGTTGTATTGTTTTTTGCAAGCTCTTTCGTAATGAAGTAGCTTCCCGGAAACAATATCACTGGACTGAATCGACAATATATCGGTATTATGCAAGAGTTGTACACATAGAACGACAATCACTGAGTGTGCATGTATCTGCTACATTTCTTTTAATTTTGAAACTCCTATTTAGTTAACAGTAGAAAACATTCAAGGGTGCTGACAACCTGCCTCTGAGACATGCCTGTCTGAAATAAATTACATGTTATCCCCTATTCATCTGGCCAGACAAAATGCGCCTCTATGATCTTGATTTATTATATTGAATGCCTATTCAAACATTGAATTGCAAATTTTAACAAAAGTACATTCTGACATGTACATGCAGTACGCATACGGCCAAAAATCTTGATTTTGGAGGCACACGAAGTCCTCAACAAGTATATAACAAGGCCAGCCTGTTGAAACCGAAAATGGTCAGCCTTTGCCACTAGTATGGAGCCATGCCAGTTTGCTGAAACCGAAAGTGGTCACTCTTTGCAAAAAGTATAAAGCCTGGCCAGCCTGCTGAAACCGAAAGTGGTCAGCCTTTACCACCAGTAAAGAGCCAAGTCAGCCTGTTGAAATAAGAAATAGTCATCCTTTGGAACCAGAAAAGAACCAGGCCAGTGTGCTGAAACCGAATGTGGTCAGCCTTTGCCACAAGTAAAGAGCCTGGTCAGCCTGCTGATACTGAAAGTGCTCAACCTCTGCCAAAAGTATAGAACAAAGCCAGCATACTGAAATCGAAAGTGGTCAGCCTCTTTTACAACAATAGATCCTGAACCAGCGTGCTTATACTGAAAGTGCTCAGCCTCTGCCAAAAGTATAGAACAAAACCAGCATGCTGAAATCGAAAGTGCTCAGCCTCTGCTACAAGTATAGAGCCTGAACCAGCCTGCTGAAACCGAAAGTGGTCAGCCTCTGCTACAAATAAAGAGCCTGACCAGCCTGCTGAAATCGAAAATGGTCACCCTCTGCTACAATTATAGAAGCAGGCCAGCCTGCTGAAACCGAAAGTGGTCAGCCTTTACAACTAGTATAGAGGCAAGCCAGCCTACTGAAACCGAAAGTGGTCAGCTTTTACCACAATTAAAAAACCTGACCAGGTTGCTGGAAACGAAAGTGGTGAGCCTCTGCTACAAGTATAAAGCCTGGCCAGCCTTTACCACTAAAATAGAGGCAAGCCAGCCTGCTACAAGTATAAAGCCTGGCCAGCCTTTATCACTAGAATAGAGGCAAGCCAGCCTGCTGAAACCGAAAGTGGTCAGCCTTTACCAGAAGTATAGAGCCTGGCCAGTCTGCTGAAACCAAAATTGGGCAGCCTTTACCACAATTATAGAGGCAGGCCAGCCTGCTGAAACCGAAAATGGTCAGCCCCTGCTTTAAGTATAAAGCCTGGCCAGCCTGCTGAAACCGAAACTAGTCAGCTTTTAACAGAAGTATAGAGGCAGGCCAGCCTGCTGATCCCGAAAGTGGTCAGCCCCTGCTTTAAGTATAAAACCTGGCCAGCCTGCTGAAACCGAAACTAGTCAGCTTTTAACAGAAGTATAGAGGCAAGCAAGCCTGCTGAAATCGAAAGTGATCAGCCTATACCACAGTTATAGAGGCAGTCCAGCCTGCTAAAACCGAAAATGGTCAGCCCCTGCTTTAAGTATAAAGCCTGGCCAGCCTGCTGAAACCGAAACTAGTCAGCTTTTAACAGAAGTATAGAGGCAGGCCAGCCTGCTGAACCCGAAAGTGCTCAGCCCCTGCTTTAAGTATAAAACCTGGCCAGCCTGCTGAAACCGAAAGTAGTCAGCCTTTAACAGAAGTGTAGAGGCAAGCTAGCCTGCTGAAACCAAAAGTGGTCAGCCTGTACCACAATTATAAGGCCTGAACCAGCCTGCTGAAACCGAAAGTGGTCAGCCTTTACGACAACTATAGAGGCAGGCCAGCCTGCTAAAATCGAAAGTGGTCAGCCTTTACCACTAGTATAGAGGCAAGCAAGCCTGCTGAAACCATAAGTGGTCAGCCTTTACCAGAAGTATAGAGCCTGGCCAGCCAGCTGAAACCGAAAGTGGGCAGCCTTTACCACAAGTATAGAGCCTGGTCAGCCTGCTGAAACCGAAAGTGATCAGCCTTTACCACAAGTATAAAAGCA